TTTTGAGGTGGTTAAGCCTTGAGTTACTTTATAAACTAGCTGAATAGAACCGCTAGATACTAATTAATATAAAGATACTAATTGTATTGTACAAACTAAACTCTAACCTGAGTAATGTAGGTTTTTGGGTGAATTTTCTTCACGTGGTTTTTGAATTTTACAACGGAAGTAACTTTCTGATGACGTCAAAGCAAGATGGCGGCCTCCATAAAAATATTCAAAAGTTTTCAAATGATTGAGAAAATGACTCAAATCTATAAAGATTGACTACTATACACTGGTGGTAAGTAAGGAATATATAAATACATCTAAGACACTGGTCTAATCTAACTGTGAAGCTACCGTATCGTCACGACACTAACTTATTAAAAAAATTAATTTAAAAAAATTCTAAAATTTGTGACAGTATTTTCAATCTGCTTGTCAAGTAATAAATGAATAAACGCAAGGAGCACACGCGTCTCGAACTAGCAACCTCGTGGTTACGGCCCCAATCGCATAGCCTAAACGTGCTGGCGCTCAAGCCCTCTCGGCCAACTCGACCAACTCGACAACCCCAAAAAAGGTTGTTTTGTTAGTCGATCTGACTAGAGGCTGCAGATGTTAACGCTCAGACACACCAGAGGAAGCACCCTACCCTTTTTTCCCTTTGACACTAGTGCTTATATATTTCTAAATATACACACGCTGCTCGACTGTCCTTAAGAACCCAGAGCGGGTTAATTTTTAAAAAAAAGTTGTCAGATATGTTGTGACTTCTATGATTACAATACTGCAATATTGTACATAAAATGTATGTCTGTTCATTATGACTTGCCCTCTGCTTTTTTGAGGACTTGGGACCTTCTAGCTAGGCTAGGTAGCATTACAAGTTTGTTGGTGGTTACTAAACTTGAAGCATGGCTCTACTGCCACTAGATTGTGACAGTACCCCTTCCTGCAGAGGGGAATAGCCTTGAAAAAGGCTGTTTGGGCCACAGCTAACCTACAGACTGTCACCTTGCAGACTGCAAGCTAGTTGTTGGGCGGGCAAGAGGGGGAAGGCAGGTAACATGCATACAAGGGAGGGATATGTTTTAAAAGGGATATCAGGACCAAACAGATTGCAGAACCAAACAGGTTGCAGACTGAACATGGAATGTGAGCAGATGGATAAACTTGGGGAATGTTAATAAATGTCTGTGCCCCTTGACTCATTTGTGCACTGGGGGCAGTCAAAACGTTTATCACTTATCAACTTGGCAACTTCCCTGGCATTAAGGTTGAGACATTTGTTGTGGAACCAGTTAAAACAGCCATCGCAGCGTACCATGGGACAACCAGTATGTCTTAGATTATGGTTTTGGGATATATAGGGTCTACTTTTCTTATGACAGATTTACACTTACACAGTTTGCTTTTCTTGTTGGGTTTCTTTAAAGTTTTTGGTCACCCTTCCCTTTGGCCTTTGTGCTTATATATTAAACATTTGCAATAAATGCTTAGGTTTAGTTTTTTTTTTATTTCCTATTTTGGTACATTCATACATTGTTTATAATGATTACAAATAATGTAATGCATAAAATATAAACAAAAAGAGACGTAATGATACATTCATACAAAGTCAATTACATTTCTAATACACATTTGGTTATCCATTTTGATAGTATTACATCTTTTGTCATATTAAAAATTTGAGAATAATAAAACGCATTTTTGATAAATGCATTTGTTATGTCGAAAATTTTCCAGTTTTCTTTTTCTTCCGAATATTTACACCAGTTATTGTATATAGTCAATCCTGCAATTGTTAAAATTATGTTTCTATATTTAGTTATAGTGTTTCCAAATGGATAACCAATAACAATATGTTTATATTGAATATCACATTTTAACACTCTTCCAATTTTATTCCACAAGGGTTTAACCTTATGGCATTCAAATATCATGTGCTTAATATTGTGCAATTGATTACATATTAAACAATTTTTTGAGACTTTGTTATTCCATTTTGATACAAGAGATCCACATGCCAATAAGTTGTTTAAGAGTTTAAAATTTAACTCTGAAAAATATGTATAGCTCATATTTATTAATTTTTGATCATATATATTTTTCCAAAGGTGTTGTTCTATAATATTAAAACAAGCATTCCAGTGAGTCTCTTGAATATTTCTCTCAAATTTAAGATTTCGCAGGATGTTGTAGAAAAATTTTGCTTTTTTACCGTCTAATTCAACAAAGTGGTTTTCTAATAAAAATTTAGTTTTATCCCTTATATTGATAAAAGGTAAAATATTTTTATCAACATTTGAACAAACACTCATGATGGTTCTTTTGAGAATATACAACTCTATCATCCAGTTCTTTTTTCTTTGCAATGCTTGAATAAAAGTTTGGCTACTTTTAAAAGAGCCATTTGGATTAAAGAAATCTCCTACGTAAACAAAACCAGACTGAATCCAGTTTTTATAAAATAAAACACTTCTTCCATTTAAAAATCGTTTGTTCAACCATAACACTTCCCTGAATATATCGTCATTTTTCATTTTGTCATTTGTTACGTAAGTTTTACAAGTGTTAAATGAGCAAAGTATTTCCTTATAAAAAGGAGTAAATATGTTCAGATCATTTATTGATTGTTTATCAAAATTACAGTTCAAAAGTGTTTCTACTTTAAGACCTGTTTTCTTTATCAAGTGTAAAGGAAATAATCTCCATGATGTTTTGCTTGTTAATAATCTACTAATCCACCCACACTGCAGGCTTTGTATTTTAAGTTTAACATCTACAACATTTAACCCCCCGTCTTCTATTGCTCCAATTACTGACTTTCTTTTTACCTTATCCTTGCCATTCCAAAGAAAATCAAAAAACATTTTTTCTATTTGTTGATAATTGACTCGTCAATGCTTACAGTAGGTTTAGTTGATGTACTGGCAATCTTGTAGCACTGGTCCGTTTGTGGTGTGGGGACATTGTCATATGTTCTGATAAGAAACACTGTTTCAAGTGTTCCCTCAGGTCTTCCTGGTGAAAGAAAACAGTTTCTGGAGCTATCCCCAAGGCAAGTGATGTAGCATTGGCAATGGCAAATAGACCACAGTTGTAGCCATTCTGTTGGTTTTGAGGACATTTTAATGTGATACAAAAAAATTCCTTCAAAAATTTCAAAACCCAACGGAATGTTAAATCCCGCCAAATAATTAAAATCACTTCAATTAAATTACTCATACATGTATATGTACATTTTTAATGCACATGTATACATAAAAATAACTTCTGAGACGACGCAACCCATATGACACAATCCCATTGACATGATTGATATTGAACCAAAATTGACAAACAGTATTGAAGTTATCACCCACACACGAACAGACAGACAGAAAGACAGACAAACAGACAGCTTCTCTAAACCCCTACTCAAACTTTATTTTGTGGGATAATAAGTAATAATACAGCAAAACCCACATGATGAGAAACATATGTATAACATCCCTGTCGAGTGAGAAAACAAAGACGATTTGTTTAATTTTGACTGACTTCATCTCAATCCTTTTCAATTGTCAGATGTCTAGGAATAATTTTTTCTGAGGGCTAAACCCTATAAATAAATATATTTACTGTAAAAACAAAATAATTTTACTCTAAAGCTTTCACAAAAGATTGGTAGATTGTCCTTCAAGATCTGTGCTTTATAAAAATCAGGATGAGTTTTTCAATAGATTGTTCAACTTCAAGGGGTATTACATTATAATGTGACAACTAACAATCCGTATGCAAAATAATGAGATAATCTAAAGAAACAAATTGAAGAATTATCAGGGTTTGTGTAAAAAACCGGGTAACCGGGTACCCGGTCGACCGGGTACCTAACGTTCCTAACAGGGCTACCAACTTTCGCAGTTCCACATTTCCCCTGATATGTAGTAGCGAATTGATTTGACAGACTTATCCTACCGAGTGCACTGCTGTTCGATATTTTTACCCTATACGAGACAGAGCACTTTTTAAAATAATCGATCCAGCAAACTGGCGTCCATGTCACGTTGCTCATAAGTTCTTTACACATGGAAGCAACGTAAACATGAGACATCTATTGATGGTATAAAAAGAACGTTGTTGTAACGTGTCCGTAACGTTTGTTAGTGTGAAAAACATAACAAACAGGAACGTTCGATTTTTTACTACATTGGTCCGTATGTGACGTAACTCAAACGTTAAAATTCAACGTTGTCAAAACAGGCCTTTAATATCAAAATATTTGTTGGTAGAAAAACATGACAAAAACTTTGTGTTCTCACTAAGTCGGTTCATTTCCGATGAATTGTTAAAGTTAAAATTTATCGTTGTCGAGACATTATTTCGATTTGAAATAACCTCAAATCGCGACGTCAATAATGACGTTCATGGACCGTATTGATCTGACGTTATTTAAATATTCAGCAAAACGTCGATGGATGGTTGAATTTCAACATTGTGGAAATGGCTTCAAAATATTTGTGAGTTAAGGAAACGTTACTAAGACGTCAATGTCGATGTAAAATAACCTCAAAACGTGACGTCGAAAATAAGGTCCATGTATCGTCCAGATCCAACGTTATGATTAAGAAATTCCTAACCCCGCTAGGAACGTTAAGTACCCGGTTACCCGGTCACCTGGTTACCCGGTCACCTGGTCACCTGGTTACCCGGTCACCTGGTTACCCGGTCACCCGGTTTTTTACACAAACCCCAATTATCAAAATCATCAATTTCAACCATAATACAATCAAACATTTTGGACTGTATTTACTCACAATTCCTTGTGTTGGATGGCCAATATGTTCACTAACAGATGGGAATTTGATAAAATGACACAACTCAGCACCTGCTTTAGCCTCCCCTTCTCTCAACTTCCTCCTGAGCTCTTGAGAGGCAAGTGCCTTTCTTTTTCTAGTGTTCTGTGATATCTAATACAAATACAAGATACATAAAATTGGGTACGTTGTTGTTTGTCACAAAGTGTAATCATCACTGTAACAAACTAAATGTACTCAAGATGTCCATAATATGGGTAGATTGTTTTGTTCTTCTACTTGAAAATAAAAAAAGTAAATTAAAAAAGTAAATTGCTTGTTATTCTAAAATCAATAGGTAAAATTACAAATAAAATACATGTAACATCTCTGCTGTTCAAGCTTTAAATATAATAACTATAGACAAACCCTTATTACTGTGAACAAGATGTGTCTCTTCTTCATCAGAGGTTGATACAGTGTATGTAAACCAGCATGCATATAATCTGTGCATATAATCTGTGCATATAATCTGTGCATATCATTGAAACAATTATGAATGAGTAAATCAAAGTGATTTATACATTCTATTTTCCAATACACAAGTACACATTAAATAGACAAGTTTTTAATTTGCATGCATTGTACCATGGTTGTACATACCTTGAACTCTGGAAAATACAGATCATGCAGCTCGAAAATCATTGCAGGACAGCCCCTCTTTTTCGTGCTCTGGACTCTCTGTCTTCTCACGCTAAAATCATGGTCCTTGTTTCTCTGGTATCAATAAAATGACATGTTTATGACAATATTCATGTAGGAGACATAAATGATTACTGCTGCTTTGCTGTTACCTGTTGCAAAAATGATTGAACTGTTGTCGACCAAATCTTGAGACTCTTCAAAGTTTTACATATGCCTTTTACTGCATGATCTGAAAGTTTGATAAACTTTCTTCAACTCTTTGGAATAAATGTTACTTGCTGCATTTGATGTCTCAGAGACATATAAAACATGTTTTATATGTCTCTGGATGTCTATAAGAATCACTATAAAGGGTATGAAAATTGGATATTTAAGACTACAGTACATGCACATAGCAATTTTTTTTTTTTTTGCTTTACATACCATTAAATCCCTTTTTCTTTGTGTTCTCTCCTTCTGGGATTTGTCCTTGTCAGGACCCTGATGACATTGCCAACATCTTCTTCCAGCCGACAGAAATTGAATGCCGCTGTAGGGTACTGATATCCCTTTCTCAGCACCTAATTCCCGATGCACAGACCAAGGGTTTTTTAGGATCTCTGCTACTGAAAGTCCTGAAAGCAATGAAGTCACATGTAAACTGTTATTTTGCAGATGTGATTGTTGAATGTTGATACCTGAAATTAAAATCATTACATCATATAATACATATTCTAATATGATACGTGACGTTACACTAGCTGGAACAATTGATCTACTGGTCTTTATTGGAGTATGTATGACTGATAAAATTCATAAATGCAAACAGTCGTGTTTCTTATCTGTTTATCATATAAGAATTGTAACAAAGACCTTGATTTTATGACTTCACACGGTACTAACTCAACGGGGCGTATCGAAACCAAAACGCCCCGCAACGTTAATTTGAATTTCAAATCTACCCTGTCTTTGGAAAATCAATGATTGTCTCACACTACACTGTTTTTCCTCAAACTTGTTCCATTAAAACCTTCACAGAAATACCTTTCAGTCGAGACATTGTTTTTGTTTACAAAGTCCCTCGTTTTAGCTGCGTTTTGGTCCCCAGATGTGAGAAGTTGCAAATCTTCAGAGATTTCAACCACAATTCTTGATATCTCGCCAGTTCTTCTATCACTCTCCCCAATATTCTGCGCAAGGACTCCCATTACTACCCTCCATCGCTGCATAAACATATCAGGCGCGTATCGTGGTCATTTTGCAAGGGTATGCGATTTTTGGCATATGATTTTTCGTGCAGACATCCATAGGTTCTGGGTCTATATAAAGATGGCAGCACCAACAGTCATAGTATTATCTTTTTCTCTAAGAGAATATTTATAAATAAACACATATCGATCACCATGCCATCTTTATATAAAAATTCTTTCTCTTTAGACTATTTAAAAATTATTTCTATCGACCTTTGCCTATTTGACCTTTCATCACCTGAATTTGAACTAAACACAAATAAAATGACTGAACGCACTTAATCATGCCTTCTGTTAACTTTCTAGGTTTGTTGTATATCATTCTAGAAATAAACAGTATTCATGAGGAACTAATCTGTACTTGACACAGTGACAAACTAACAAATTTAGGGTAGTTGAAAAACAATTACAAGATCTAAAAACGGGTGATAAGTCTGTTTTGCTTATTCAAACGAGCCTAACTCTGTCTAAAAATCAGCTTCTCTGAACTACGGTGATCATGAACTCACCTTGAAAATATTTTTTCAAATTCAAACAGTACGCCTGAGCGTATTTTGCGTACATGACGATACGCGCCTGCATATTTATCACATGAAACGCAGCGATTTTGAAAAATCCTATGCAACTGTTTGAAATTGACCAAAACGCACCGTTGTCTTCCAAAACGCCCCGTAGTCCAGTCAGTATCTAGATAAGGTGTATAGATCCAACGGGGCGTTTCGGAAGAGAACGGGGCGTTTTGATAAATTTCAAACAAATACGTAGGACTTTTGGAAATTGCTGCGTTTAATGTAATAAATATGTTGATGCAGAGATGGAGGGTTGTAATGGGAGTCCTTGTGCAAAATATAGGGGAGAATAATAAATTGACCTTTTTGAGCTTTCTTTCCATGTCAATTTCATCTCAAGATTGAAAGTTTCCATGCATACTTCCTCTCGGACTTATAAAAGGGAGTAAATTTCCTGAAATATTGGTGTATAACTATAAAATCCACTGATTTATTCAAGAACTTGCCAACTGATTTTACCGATTTATTACCATTATTTGTAGAAAAACTGATTTTTGACTTATAAAAGGCTCTCTCTTCGACAAATTTTCCATGTTTTTCTTACTCTCAGATTGGCCAGCTTCCATGGTTTATGCCCCAAGCCAAAATTGCCCCTGCTGCACGTGCCTACCCAAATTATTTAGAGTGAACCCCCGGGGCCAAAGACCTCAATCACTATGCAATTTCGGTCTTTTAACAATGAACAGAATAAAATATATTACGCCATAAATCATAAAATCTCGGTCTTTATTCCTTTACTAAAATATACTGATTAAGCTTAGATATCTTAGTCCAAGGACGTCCAAAGACGTCCTTGCTTAGTCCAACACAGTTAGGGCCAAATACATCAGGCGGTGTATGAAAAAGAGCAAGCCTACAGTACATGGACCTAGGATGAAGACAGTATAAACCACTGACTGGCAGAGGCATAGCTAGGTCATTTTGCCAGTGTACTGTACACCCATCAGGTTTCCCTTTATTATAAAATATCATTGTATGAACACCCTTTTTGAAAAGTGAATCATCTTTTAAAATAATTTTGGACTAAAGTTGTCAATTGTGCCCCTGGAATCCTCTCAACAAAAGCTCGCAATGAGCTTGGTGATTTGTTTTTATCTTGTTCATGCATCACCAATGATAATAATGATGGGGGGGGGGGGTAGTGGCCATCCCCTCCGCCCTGCCCCCTGGCTACAGACCTAATGTATAATAATTGTTTAGAGGATACCAGGGATATAAATCAAGCTGATCCCAATATATTCAAGCCTTTCCTTTATGAAAAAATTACACTGTGACTAAAGAAAATTTATCAGAAATTTTGAAAAGAAAAAAATACCCGTTATGAATTCATTTTTTTGGCTGAAAAATGTCGTTGCATGTGTTGATAAGACAATAACTAGACAAACCGAATTCTGTTCGTGCAACATCGACCCTCCAGTCTGAACCAGTGTCCTGCTTAAAGCTGTTTAAAGCGGTTTCACTGTCAATTTTGGTTTTAAATTTCTGCGCCATTTTGCATTTGGAACCACAAAGTTTGCACTGAACGAAACTAGTAAAAAGATGAATCCTCGGACTGCAATATACCGCTGACCATTATTTGCTTGGCGTCATAGTTTGTGAAGAATTGCTTTAATGCAGTTACCTCATTAGTGTTCTTGAGGTGATCTACATTGATGTCACCAATAACAACAAAATATTCAACATGCCTAACAAATCTGTAAAGGAGAAAGGAGCCGTTGAATTGAAGTTGAAGATGATCTGTATATTCCAACAAAAAGCATGTTTTGATAAGTAGCTGAAATGATCTCTATTCCTTTTTTATTGTAGTTGGGAGGGGTATTGCACAATTTTTGTTTAGAATAAAGAGCCATTCCATGATATGGTCGTCTAATTGCACTGATCTTTGTTGTTGGTTTGTCATTACAATGACAAAAAAGTTTTTGGATGGAGCAAGCTTGATAACTGTCATTACATTTAAAGTTTGTTTCTGAAATAAATACTAAATCAGAAGCTTTGACATTTGGATCAACTGAAATATCAGCCATATGTCTGTGTAGTGACCTTGCATTGATATACATAATATTAAATGTACTTGTACTGTTTGAGGTTTTCTGAATGGTATTTACAGATAGCTTAATCAGGTTTGAACGTAGTCTTTCCATCTCTTGTTTAACTTCTGATGAGCATTGGATGCTACTTGGTTCAAAGTTGATGAGATATAAGCCATCTAATGAAGTCACCCTACTGAGGGCTACATAGTGAAGATGAGGTGGAAATGATTTTTTGAAGTTTTTTTATTATCCTTTGTGTCCAATGTTTAATCTTCTACAGATGGGTTGAGTAGGCTTTAGGAAAATGTATATGGCATTGACAGGAGCAAGTTGGAATAAGTCTCCAATGACAATAATAGAAACTCCTCCAAAATCTAATTGTGAACCAGTGAGGGAGCGTAGTCTAAAATTGATCTTTTGCAGCATATTTCCTCCAACCATGAATGCTTCATCAATGATAAGAAGCTTGAGATGACAAAGTTTATGTCTAAACCTATTTAATTAATCATCTCCTAGTTCTGTATATTTTTATTGATTAATTGGGAATGAAAATGTTTTGTGTAGTGTATTTCCCTTGATAATGAATGCTGCTTTGCCTGTAGGAGCACATAGCTCTATGAACCTACATTCAAAATTTCCTGTGCAGGTTTTATTGAAATATTTCATAGCGGTTTGATACATAGCTAAGTACTAACTTTTGTCAACACCTGCTCCACCACTCTATTGAGACTTCTCATCAGCTTTCTGTATTCATCATCAATCATTTCATTGTGAATTAAAGGTTAGTTTTTTTATTATCCTTTGTGTCCAATGTTTAATCTTCTACAGATGGGTTGAGTAGGCTTTAGGAAAATGTATATGGCATTGACAGGAGCAAGTTGGAATAAGTCTCCAATGACAATAATAGAAACTCCTCCAAAATCTAATTGTGAACCAGTGAGGGAGCGTAGTCTAAAATTGATCTTTTGCAGCATATTTCCTCCAACCATGGATGCTTCATCAATGATAAGAAGCTTGAGATGACAAAGTTTATGTCTAAACCTATTTAATTAATCATCTCCTAGTTCTGTATATTTTATTGATTAATTGGGAATGAAAATGTTTTGTGTAGTGTATTTCCCTTGATAATGAATGCTGCTTTGCCTGTGCAGGTTTATTGAAATATTTCATAGCGGTTTGATACATAGCTAAGTACTAGTGCATAACTTTTGTCAACACCTGCTCCACCACTCTATTGAGACTTCTCATCAGCTTTCTGTATTCATCATCAATCATTTCATTGTGAATTAAAGGTTCTGTACCTTTGCATGTGTCTACAAATTGAAGCGCATCAATGCCAATATCATAATGAAAGTTTTCTGTTACAACAGGGTAAATTGAGTCATAAACTGTTCTTGTGTTTTCAGTATCACTTTCATCATTGTCAATCTCAGTCTGACTGCAGGCCAGGAAAAGTATGACTTATTGTTTCAATTTTTTCAGCTTCATCATAAAATGGGAAGACTTTTTCTCTTTCTTCTTTAATGCATCCTATGTTGTCACTATAGTCTTGCTGTAGGTTTTTGTATGTATTTTGCTCTCTAAATGGTACATAAATCATTAACTGTTCATAGTAAAATTCTTCAGGGTGTGTTTTAAGTTTAAAAGTTGGTGGTCGCAATATTCTTGGCCTTTTCTGTTTCGATATCGATATTCTCTCATTTTTTGGTTTTGAATTGCCTTGTGAAAAGTCTTGGATTGGTGTGTCATGTTTTGTTTGGCTATCATTGTCTGATTGTGTATGTTCATTGGTGCAATCTTTTATCCCAGAGCTACAATTGTGATGTATGTTTTGACTTTTGTCAAACTTAGTCATCCTTTTAGGTTTCATGAAATTCATATTTGTTTGGTTATCAATAAGGGCAATATCAAATTCAATTTCTTCATCTGAGAATGTTATCATCATTATCAAGTGAATTATCATTTACATGCAATGGCACAGGAACACGCAACTCTGGAATTTTTTCCCAATTTTGTTTTGCTCTGCTTATTGATTTACTATACGATATGTCATATTCAAAAACAAATGATGCAAATGTTACATTTTCCATTGTTTTTGGTTGATTCATGTATCGCATAATAATAACATTTCCTGAGCTGACATCATCATCATCATCCATTTCTTTAATGATGTTCAATGGCTTGAGTAGAGTTACTCTTTTGTCTGGGGTATTTGTGTTTACAAATGTGACTTGACTACAAATTGATGATTTCTTAAGAGGTAGTGATATAGCTATCATAAGATGTCATATAAACAGCACATGCATATGAATCAAGTGGAACTTGTACATCCATATTTGCCTGCCATGCTTTTAAGAGAGCTGGTGTATAGTTATTAATGACCTCTTTTGGAGAACATTTTAGAAAGATTGTGTCTGTCTTTATGCTACTGCGTAATGCTAGTATATAATTCTGTTCAGTAAGAGACAAGGCATCTAGGAATTCTTTGAATGTGTCTAGATATGACTTTGATTCGATCATTGTGGTTATGTACTTTTGAACATTTTTGAATACTTTCCTGTGGTCCTTGATGGAAGTGGAAATTTAGGAAACCCAAATTGACATATACTCTTTCTTTGCTTTGTTGTTCTCTGACATGTATGTGAATGTCTATGAGTCTGTCTTTTCTTAACTAAATTATGTAAATCAGGATCCATATCTTCACCTGGTAAAGAACAGGATTACACAGATTCAATGTATTTTATTACTTCCTCATTAGTTTGACAGCCATAGGTAGGTGCTTTATCAATCCATAATATCATATGAATATGTGGTGATCCTTGTTGTTGAGATTCCACCCTATACATAAAATCATTCATGCATCCGAGTAGTGAATGGATTTTTTTTATCTGCTTCATAAAAGAATTAAATTGATAATCAAATTGTCTTGCACATGTGATTGGATCTGTTTGAATCAATCTGCATTTTTCATCATATGACATATTTACACACTTTTCTAACGTACAGTTTGTTTTTCAACAATATGTTTTAGGATTTTCAAATAATGTGGCCACTGTGTTTCAGCTGAGGAAAAGGAACAAAAGAGTGTTGGCTTTCCGAGGACTCTCACCATGACAAATAGATCTTTTTGCACATTCTGGAAGTATGTAGGGGAACCTTTAACTTGCTTCAGAATTTTATAAGCTTTATCATGAAAGATTAATTTAGAGCCTTCCCCTGTTTTGATATCTCCAGCTGTTAATTTACTTGCATCCTGAACCTTTCGAATCGCTATATTTACACCGCTTATGGTTTCCTTTAACTGTAACTTTTTAACTTTATAGAAAAGTTTGTCAATACCACAGCGTTTGTCTCCAGACCAAAGCTCTGCTTTGACAATTTCACTGTATAAAACAGGGACATGTCTGTCATTGTTTGTAGGACGCTTTTTGCCACAAAATATACCTGGAAATGCTAGTTCTTCACTTGCATTATCATCAAATATACTGATTGGAATTTGGTTTTCACCTGGAGCATAATTATAAACTTTATCACGTTTATCTAGTTCTATGAAATCAGGGGAGGATAGATGGTATCAGTAGATTCACTTCAGTGTCATATTTATCACAGTTGTTCTCTTCATCCGTATCATTGAAGGACATCGAAGGTCCATCTTTATTGGTAATATCAGAGGGATCACTTCAAGGGATCACTTCAAGGGATTTGTTAAGGGAGGTCATGATTTCTTTCTTTAGATGTATACTGTTTTTTTTTGCTGGGAATATCAAAATAATCATTACGTTTAGACATATATGGTTTCATCTTTATTGGCAGTATCAAACGGATCACTGCCACTTGAAATTTGTGAAGGAATATCATCATTTATTTCAGATGTATATTTCCACTCAGTATTGAGCTTAATGCCAACAGCTTTGTAAAAAGGTAGTCTACTCAGAAAATGTGCAGCTTTGATGACTCTCATCGGATGAACATTTTGGGAAAGTACATGGTTTTTATATGATAGTTTTCTTTTCAATTTAAGTTTAATGGTCTGGGTTTCATCAGATAATATTGGGAGTGTGAACACCGTTTCTGCCATTGCTGTTGGTACCATGACAACATTACCATTTATTTCATACTGTTTTATGGTATTTTATACTGCAATGAATAAACAAAGTTTATCTATCATGCATTTATGGTTAGTGATCAAAGTGTGTAGCTATAACCTTTAGAGTAAAATGCAAAGTTGCACAATGAATAATTGTTGTTTTAACCTTGTTCATTGAAGAAGGGGTTTCAAAAATATCTAGGATACTTTTTTAGTAGAAGAATGTTGCAATGGTGATTATAGCTTCATACCTTTGGGCTGATTGATTCGATAACAGCAACTCAGCAACACACTGATGTAACTGCAATATAGATTATGAATTGTATTAAGGATGCAGTACCGGGTCGGTTTTCACGTCTGTTTGTGCAGGTTTGACTTCCGGTTTGAGAAAGCTAGCTCCCAAGAACGTCATTTTCGCATTTAGTCTTATTCAAAAATTATAGTTTATTTCGATAATGGTGTTTCCAGAAAATAATTAAATTGCAAACATTTTATCAATTATTTAGCACTGTTGTATATTTATTATAATAAATGTGTATACTTTACATGGAACACTATTTTCATATACGGCCTGCATGAAAAATGTTAAAAATATAGCAAAGCAATAATAAAATCAATTGTGCAATGACCACAGGGTCAGAGCCAATTGATCATATGAGACCCATTCCAATGCAATATTGCTTTGTTATATTTTGAGCTGTGTTCTCTATATAGATGTTCCTGTTTGTATTTCTTCCTGCAAAAAATCCATACCATAATGAGAAAGGTGTGAAATTGAGGATTCCGACAATTTATTTGAAGAAATTTGATATTAAAAGATGAAGTAATATTTTAAGATATTTATAATAAAAATATTAACAAGTTAAATATATAAAACAATATATATATATACAGAATATCACATCATTTTGAGTGATATCATTTTTATCGCAGAGTTGATATCATTTTTATCGCCAACTTGATATCAAATATCAACACGAGTGAGCGAAGCGAATGGGTGTTGATATTTGATATCTACGAGGCGATAAAATGATATCACGAGAAATTATGTGATATTGGGTTTATCCCATGATTACAATCACGTTCTGATGTTTTGATCCAATTTCCAGGACATTGGCAGACAATATAATCTAGAAATTAGAATATACAATTGAATATTTGAAACACTTTATTTTAACAATTAAAAGTAAATAAAATGAACTTGTAAACATTTTTTTGTCAGTTTTATGTCAGCTTTATAACAGTTAATATTATTGTGACTAAATTAATAAATTATTAATAAAAAATTAAATTAATATTAATAAATTATCTGACCTAATTTCCAACAATATTGTGGCACGAAATGCAAATGTGATATCACACGGATATGCGCGAGATAAACGATATCACACGCATATGAGTTTGATAAACGATTTTCTGGAAAATATCACACGAATTTCAATAATATCAGAAATATGAATAGCTGTTATTGTACAGATAACACATTAATCGTGGGATAAATAAGGGTTATGTACTGGGAGGTTTTGGATATAGGTTATATCCTGAGGAATATATTTATATCATCCCGAGGAATATATTTATATCATCCCGAGGGACCGAAGGGACCAAGGGGAGATATAAATATTTCCCGAGGGATATACCCTTTATCCAAAACCGATCGTACATAACTGGTGTATCTCATACTTAAGTGGGTTTGGGGTTCCACCTTTTTCAAATGACAAGATAGGCCTATACTGTAAAAGCACAATTTGTATTTAACATTTTCGTAATATTCCTTTAGTTCAATACAATGAAATTGTAACATTTAAACTTTTTAACAAATTTTAAACTTTCAAATGTTAATTTTTTTAAAACTTTTGAAAAATTCCCGGGAGCGGGATGGATATATTATATCTGCCCGCATTTGCCCTGGAGCGGGATATATATAATATATCCTGCCCGCTCCTCAGATATGATATATATTCCAAACCCACTCAAGTATGAGATACATATATTTATCCTACACTTAGTGTACTAAATGTATAATAACATGAAAAAATAAATTTGATATTTATTGGCAAAATGAATATCCGGAGGATATCGTAACGATATACTCCGCCCGGAGTATATCGTGATGATATACTCCGGAAAACCCAATATGCGGAGGATATTGTGACGATATACTCCGCTTGTTGATTTCCCGCCAAATTGACTCTATTTGGCATGGAATTCATTTTACAATGATATTATACATTCAGTACACTCCTTGTAAGTGTAGGATAATAAGAACATCCTATGATTTTTTTCAGAATATCATTTTAATCTACTCGGTGATATTGATATATGCACTCGTTCGCTTCGCTCTCTCGTGCAGATATCAATATCACCTCGTAGATAAAAATGATATTCCTCAAAATCATAGGATATCCTATAAATACTTAACTGTATATATTGTAGTAACTGAATAACCTTAAGGTGTGCTTGATGAAATCTGAAATCTCTGATCACAGACTTGATGTCCAGTACATCTCATCACCTAATTTTTTTTTCAAAACTTATGTACAAAGTCACAATAAGGTTTATGGAATACAACTGTATCTTTCCTAATTACAGTAACCAATCATATACCTCTCCAATGGTTCTAGCAACCTGATTACATAAAATGATTTATAACTTCCACATCTGTTCTAAAAATCTCATTACATAGTAAAAAAGTAATTAAGTAGGCATACATATCTTAATGTATCACTTAAAATGTTAATTCAAAATGTATGTACGAAGTCACAATAAGGTTTATGAAATTTTTTTTTTTTTTTTTTTTTTTTTTCATTTCTCACTTATTCCAAATATAACATAAAATACATTA